CCGATAATTTGTTGTATACCGGGTGACAATGAGATCAGGGCCTACTAGACATAATTTGAAATTGATATCTATACTTAAACAAAATGACCGATTAAAAATTTAATTTTTAATGGATCAACTTCTATATTCTATGTTTTTTAGAATCTATGGTTAAATTTACATGACAGTGTTGCTAAATTTTCAGTTTTCCCAATTTTTATTCAAAGAAAATATTTTAATATAGATGGTCATGAACTGAAAAATAATGTTCTAATAGTGTCGAATAATTTAAAACAAAAGCTATTTTGCCAATTAAGTTAAAAATAAATCTTTTAGATAAAAAATGTAGCCAACATTGCAAATATCAAATCTGGAATCTCCGTATCCCAAAATAGGTGTATCCCAAATTTTGTACAAGTAGAACCAGCAATTTACGAGATAATTGGGCGTTTCCAGACTTTCGGGCCACTCCGTATTTCATATTCTAGGAAGATATTCCAGGCATATGTATTTTTGATATGCTCAGCATATTTATTTTTCATATTTTATAGATATCTCTGTAGAATACTGTTATATTTAACTATTTTGTTTCATTATCTATAAGTACAAATGAAGACATAGTCATAGAACTCCGGAATGTAATTTTAAATCATTATCATGCAAACTTATTTTCAATTAATAAAAAAAATTAAACCTCCGAGATCAAATTATCTTTTTCTTCATAGATAAAATAAGTATGTATAGTTTTCCTATAATGTAGACAAGAAAAGGACAAAAGAATGATTATATCAGTTATATCAAATTGTGACAGAGAAATATTTCATAAGATTGTTAATCAATTGTAGTACAAACACGTTTTAAAAACAATGTACCTAGTACTTAAAATAAATTTATTATACTTACCTTTTACTGACATTCACCCAAAATTGACATTTACCCGAAAGTGACACATAATTACCCACCGGATTTGAAAATATGTATTAGAATTTTGTTTATTTTAATTTAGGATACAAATAAGTTTGCTTGTAAAAAAAAAAATTGTTTATAGTTTTAGCTATCGTTTTAGATTTTAGGAAACGGATATATCACATACAAGCTGTAGTTGATACAGCTTCTGTGATTCCATTGTTTATTTACAAATTATTTATGTTTATATTACTTACATGTATATTGTGAATAAACATTATTATTAATATTATTATTATTATTATTATTAAAAGGATGCGCCTAGTACGTATTGGTAGTTGGTAGTAAAAATTACCTAATAGTGTATTATTGGCTCCACTCATAATCTAACCTATCGTCGAACGTAAGTTTTTGTTACACGGGAGGTTAGAATATTTTTTATCCATGATATCCTGGCCAAAAGAATATGACACATAACCAAACATTGTCAGATTTGCGAGAGACGTAACGGAGTTTTTGTTTTTTTATAAGTAAGTCTCACGATATACCCACCTAAGGGGTAAGTCTGATTAATTATAATATATGGTCCTTCTGTAGTATCAGTGTGGTGTTTAAAATTATAAATATGAATAAATATTTTATAAGAAGTGTAACTCAGTTGGTAGACGAATCTATTTTGTTCTCAAATAATGATAGAGCATTAGCTTCAGATCAGCTTCAGATAAATGTAAAATGTAAGCTTCTTTCGAGGAAATACCATTATTCCTTTCACCAGGAAAAAACTCGTGTAAAATTCAAGAATCTGAGTTTATATCAACATCTATCTTTGTAAAGGATAATATTAGTTCAAAGGCATCTAATGGTAATGAATTACCTATTGTTAGTAATAAAGTAACTGATCATTATAAAAGTTTTTAGAGGAAATCAAAATATAGGCTATGCGTAATAAAATTGCAGACAAGGCACTATGTAATCCTATTTTTGTTTTTTAGAGATGTGTAGGAAAATTCACAGTACACAAATGGCAACGGAAAATGTAGAGGGAGCCATTACTATAAATAAAGTGACCCAAAGATGCTATAGAAGTAAGTATTACTGTAATGTTTGTTTCAAGATTTTGAAATATTTCTATTTTACAGATATTTCTCAATTCTAACACTTATTATTAAAAGAATCAAAATTTAAATAATTTATAAATATCGCATAATACATATACATATCTTATATATCATTTTTGTAGGAGAAAAGTACGTGAAGAACTTCAGCAAATAAATTTAAAATTTTCAGTTTTTTGTATGTATGTATTGTTTTTAGTTTTTGAAAATTTGCTTTATTTTTCAACTAAAAATTATTTTGTATTTAAGTATGGGTTTCATTTTCTATACTGTGGTACAGCATTACAAAAAAAATTGAATATGCCATGAATATTCAAAATACCATAAATTAAATATAGACATACATAGATATCCTTAGTAAATACAGAGAATATGCCATACATATATTTTCGGAGATAAAAACATATCGTGGGCATATGTTTCATGGTGACCTTGAATATTCCTGTAATCTTCCTGTCATGTGCCACGGCGAATATGACATATCCATGGAATATAGGAGTATGCAGTTGAGATATGCATTGAATTTTCATGTAATATTTTTGTGCTGTCTGGGCATGGATCATTATTTTCCAATTCATGACCTTCTACCACAATAATTTTTTCTTTTGAAAACTTAAAATTTGGCAAAGCTGTTATATGTAATTTGAACCGTAGATTCCAAAAACACATCAAATATACTGGGTGATCTATTTGAAAAATTTAACTCAATGGCATTTCCGGTAAAATCTTAATTCTGGGTGGAATGGCTATAATCGGTTAGAGAGTTTCTAGGGGAGAGGGTGTCGATTAAGTCATTTTGTTTAAGTAAAAGTGTCAATTGAAAATAATATCTAGTACTTAACTTTTTGTAAGCAGTTTTATAAGTAGGTAAGTTGAGTCTAACTGACAAATTTTTGAATCCAGAATATCTGGTATAATTTATGAGCTACCCTTTTGTTTCACCTTGTACAATAGTTGAAAAGGGAATGATTAAAAAATATTCAATAAGTCTTTCCTATCAAAACAAAAGTGTTCAATAACTATAAAACAAACGAGTATTTGTTATTCTCTTATTATCACTACAAAAGTTTTAAAAGAAGTTGTTCACTTAAATTGTCAGTTAAAATGCTTATTGGTAGTTGAAATTGTGACCTTTTGTTATAATGACGAAAATACACTTTTCGTCCGTGTTTCATGTATTATTTTTTATTTGAATATGTTTATAAATATTAAAAACATAAAATGAAATCCAAATTGATGGTATTATTTTCATGAATTCTTATAACCAAGATAGAGTGCTATTATCGATAAAAACTGAACAATTGCTGTTTATGTCAGTGTGCTTATGTATTTGATGTACATGTGGATAATGGACTACTATTTTACAATAGCAAAAAATCATCACCAGCATTATTAAAAGGTAAACTGAAAATAAAACAGATTGTTTAGATAGCAGAACCAAGGCCGCAAAAGTATTTTTCAGCAGTTAATTTAAAGTTCTTCTTTTCAAAAGTTTTCTGTCCGAAAAACGACGTTCTATGATATTCGAATAAAAATATTCTTTTTTATTATCGGTTTACCTTTTAATACTACTGATGATATTTTTTCTGCTAAAGTAAAATTATAGATACTCCATAAGCCACATGTAGGTACATCAAATTTAAAATTTTTGGTAAATATCTAGTTTGAGACAATGGCGGCTGGTGCTGAAGAGCTGCAGAACTGCCAAAAAATTGCAAGTTTCTCATGTACATTTTACAGAAATTATTTTAAACATACTAAAATATATGTAAAATATATTTTATGGATAATCTCAATATAATGTTAATCATTAAATAGTATCCACAGCGCGCAAATGTATCCCAACATCATTTCATAGCTGATAATAAGTCCAGAGTGGATCAGTGAAAGACTTTTTTTTCACAAAAACTTGCCAGATCATATTCATCGCTCGGCTAGATCGCATCAAGACGGTCTGTGCACCGCTTGGGCCGCCTGTGCTCAACGTCTCACCTTCCACGCCGAGACACGTAGTATTTGGGCTGAATTTTTTCCACAATCTTGTAGAATTAAAGCATACGTACTTGTAAATATAGCTATTTTAAATAAAAAACCAGTTCCATTTCTTGTACAAATGAATAATAAGAGGATAAATGATTTTTTTAAATAAAAATATGTATTTTTTTCAATTAATATCAATTTTGCAGAAAAGGGTGTGAAGAGGGATACTGGATGGGTAAAACAACGTCAGTAGTTATATTTTAAAATATTGTTAAAGGCAAGGAAAACTATTAAAAATGAGTTGCTGTACCTACTTAGATAATAAATAATTGGATGGTAAACTTTTTGTGTGATTTGACAAAAGTTTAAGACGTAAAAGTAGCATTTTTGAGGTATTTTTCATTTGTTTTTTTTTATATAGTTACGTTTTTTCTAGCCTTTTCAGAGGACAGAAACCATAACTATCCTTATACCCATTTCCCATTACCGATACCAAAACAACCATAAATACTCAATAATACCCATTAGGTAAGGCGTAAGGGGTGCTATATTTGCCTTTTATAAAAAAATCGTTACTATAGGCAGATTTATCCTAGGTCCCCTGCACCTATACGAAAAGACTTCGGATTCGGTAGTGTTGACATATTAACAATATGAAATCGTAAATAAAATTTTTGTAACCTAACCAAACTTTTGTTACTTCTTATTTTCGTACCCCGAATTATTTATTTATATAAGATTTTCAACATAATATTGTGCATTACTATTTTCTTAATATTACATTTAAATAAATTTTATTTTGTTGATATATGTGCATTCATGCTGTTATATAATTTGGGTAAGAAACAAGACTAGAACTTTTTTAAATTGTTTTCTTAATCATTTTTGTTTAATTTTTTTTTTTTTTATTTCATCAATTTTGTAATATTGTATTTCTTTTTTTTATGCAAATAAATATTACTTTCCTTATTTTTATAGATCTCAAACCACCACCACCACCACCACCCCTAGATGACTTACCCAATTTTAAAATTCCTTTGAAAGAAAAAAGATATAACTTTTTATAAAAATTATTCGCTAAGTATTCTACTACACAATCGATTGTTTATCAACAAGCCGAGCAATCGATGTAATTACCGGACTTCTTCGTGTACCTCAAGTTCTTGTACTGGTCCGGAGGATGACGAGCGCAGAACTAGCTTTGATTTGCAACTTGATGAAGTCGCTCGGAGATTTTACCATTTCCACTGCGTACGTGGGGCATCGAACCATGCACTTTGACTAGTTTTTTCACCACAATATTTAATAATTTTTTAATTTTTTTATTAGCGTTCTAATTATTATTTATTTTTATAGTTGTATACGCAGGGCAACCCTAACCACATTGCTAAATGGGCTATAGCCCCGGGGAGGCAATTTTATTTGGTGTTATATTTTTTGTTATTATTACTTTTTAGATATTTTTAATCAAAATCTTTTCATAACAAATAAATACCAAAATACCCAATCTACAAGAATTTTTATTAGCAAATAAATTTGATGTACTATTAATTTGTGAAACTTGGTTAAAAACTTTTATTTTAAATATTGATTTAAGTATAAATGGATATAATTTGTACAGGGCAGATCGAAACCGAAATGGTAGAGGTTTATGTGTTTACATAAAAAATAAATTCCGTTGTCAAATAATTCCTAGTAGACAAGATTCTATTTGGGAACCATTCTGGATAAAAATTGTAATTCAAAAAAAAGTACTGGTAGTTGGTGTTATCTATAAACCACATGATCAGAATTCAGAATGTTGGTTTATTTTTAGATGCATTCAAGGATTCTCTGATTTCTATATGTCCGAATGTCGACGAAACAATTTGTATGGGTGATTTTAATATGAACTTGTTTGATTATGAAAGTAACTATGTAAATAAATTTTATTCAATCTTAGAATCTCCAAATTTACGTCAACTAATTGATGTTCCAACAAAGGTTACGTCAACTTCAGCTACCCTATTGGATTGTGTTATAGTGCGGGAATAAACCGTGGTAGAGTCGGAAATTATTCATCACAATATATCAGATCATTCTGCAACTCATATTAAGCTAACTGTGAGTGAGGAACAAACTGTTCCCAAAATGGTAACGTATCGTAATTACAAAAATTTTGATATCGATATTTTCACAGTAGACTTATTCAGTACATCATTCTATAGAATATTTGATAAGGAAAGCATTAATGAAAACATTTCTTATTTAGTTAATTGTTTGAATAACCTATTTGATAGGCATGCACCAATTATTACATCTAGAGTCACTAAAAATAAAGCTCCATGGCTGACGTATGCAATAGAACGAATGATGAATGAGAGAGATAAAGCTTTGTCGAAATTTAGAAAAACTAATAATCCCAATCATTTGCAATTATACATAGAATTGCGTAATTATACCAATCAAGCTATCAAGCGGGAAAAGAAAGCATATTTCATATTTAAGTTTAATAAATAATTCATCTAAAGAAATGTGGAAAGCATTAAAGTTTGGTAAGTTCTTACCTGAAAAAAATATAAATTTTCCTGCTCACTTAAAGAATCCTAATGAGGTGAACAAATTTTTGTGGAATCTATACCTTATAAAGAACCATTATTACAGTTATTGAATTACTATATGAGTAATAATCTGCGTGATGGCTCATTTAATTTTAAAGATGTTATTGATTTAATAATTTATATTATATGTGGAATAAAAACCAACGCTAAAGTCTGCGATGGATTGAACATAAAGCTTATCAAAACTTTGTTGTCCACACATTATTCCATATATCACGCACATTGTCAATTTTTGTTTTAGTGAAAATGTTTTTCCTTCGGCGTGGAGAAGGGCAGTTGTGCAAGTTGTGCCAAAAAAACAAAATCCAGAGGAATTTAGAGACTGTCGTCCTATAAGCATCTTGCCGATTTTATCAAAAGAGCTTGAAAAGGTGATGGAGATGCAACTAAAAGAATATATTTCGAATTACTCAATTTTATCACCTCTTCAATCGGGTTTCAGGAAAGATTTTAGTTGCACAACTGCTCTTTTACAAATAGTTGATGACATTGTTAAAGCAACTGATAAAAAATTATACACCTTGTTAATTCTTCTTGATTTCAGTAGAACATTCGATACGATTAATCACAAATTAATAATAAGTATATTAAAATACATAGGCTTCTCAGAAGGAGCGATATCGCTATTGAGTAATTACTTGTGAAACAGACAACAATGTGTAGTTATTCATAATAATTTGTCAAATTATATCTCAATTGAATTGGGTGTTCCACAAAGCTCCATTCTTGGACCACTGCTATTTTCCATATACTCTACTCATCTAGTAAAATCTGTACAACACTGCAAATTTCACTTATACCCAGATGATACCCAACTCTACTACAGTTTTCTTTTTGATAGAGTGGAAATAGCATGTGAAACTATAAATGCCGACTTTTATCAAAACTGCTATGGATCATTGTTTAGTCATAAATTCAAGTAAATGAAACGTCATTCTTTTTGGACCAGAAGAAAATAAATTAAATGTTTCGAGCGGACTTAATATTAAAATAAATAATGTGTCTTTAACTGTAGTTAACGAAGTATAAAATCTTGGGGTATGGTTGGATACAGACTTGCGGTTTGAAAAACATATAAACCAACTTATAAGACGTGCTTATTCTAAACTAAAAATAATTTATGGTAACAGATATTTTCTTCAATTTCACGTGAAAGTGAAGTTATGTGAATCTTTAGTTCTTTCAATATTTAATTACGCAAGTTCTGTCTATGGTCCACATCTAACTATACAGTATAAGAACAAAATTCAAAAAGTACAAAACTCATGTTTGAGGTTAATACACGGTATTCGCGAACGACAGAGAATTTCTTATAAATTAAGAGAAATTGAATGGTTAAATATGGAGAATAGGAGATGTCTTTATTGAAACCCCTTAATGCGGATCTGAAGTATTCAGTCCAAAGGATCATGTAAAAACGTTAATAAATATTTATCGCTGAAAACGAATATATTTTTTATATTTCATAACATTGGTACTTGTTTTACAAGTACATACAATTTTTCAAGATACATCGTGGCATTTTAAACTTAAAATTGAATAACTAGAACATTTTAAATTGCTAAAACACCAACAAATAAATCCAAAAACTGCTGTTAATGGTGATTAAACTCAGGCGGAGGTGAGCGTTGAATGAAAAATCGGAGCAATTCGGGTAACGTCGTGCAAACAATGATTTTCAATTGGTGGGTTACTTGGGGTTAAAATAGACAACATGCGCAGTGTGCAATGTTACATTTTCGGTGTCTTTAATCGAAGTTTTTCTACGATCACTATCCAAAGTAGGCTTTTACACTTCAAAATGCAACAATGGCAAAGTTGACGTTTTCTGCGAACTGACATTAAGTACCACCTTTGTCGCTCGCCGAGCGGAAAACTTGTAAGTTTTGTTGCTCGCCTAATTTAAATTAAATATAGTATAATATTGTTTCTTTTAAATGAATAATGATGGTGTATTTTCTCATGAAAAGAGGCCCTATTATTTTTAGTAGCCCACGAGCGCCGATTGCTATATGTAATAGACGGTAAAATAATTTGCAGCTTTGCATGCTTTTGTAATTTTTATTAGTTAATTTAAATTTTAATATATACGCACAAGTTCACTTTAAAAAACGTGTTCTATAATGTCAAATATGGAGATAACAAAACCAAAGGAAGCAATACCAGATACCGATCTAAAAAAAGAGGCAAAACGATAAAAAGTTGTATGGGATGGTAAAATTTAAATTTCGCTATTTTTGATTAGCCGCAGAATATCGTTCACATCCTTAAAAATCTTCCTAAATTTGGTCAAAATATGTTGGTATATCATATTTTGAGACTTTCCTTTTGTAACTCGACCTTTATTTAGTAATAATTAAATAAATAATATTTTTAATAATTATTGAATGCGATGACAAATGGTTTTTGGTAGAATCTGCTGAATTTTATATATGGTTTTTCATAAATAAATAATTCACATTCTTATACCACTTTTGCGTTTTTTTAATTGAGGGCCAGGGTGCTTTTCTACTACATCTACGTTTGCTTATTTGAGTAACCAATCTTTGTGTGTGAATCGCAGGAACACTTTTTGACAGCTTTTTATAAAGAAATAAAAGAAATGGCTTCAGCTGTACACCGAACATTATATCCTCCTTTTACTGCAAAATTAATTCTCTTTCCTCCAACAAATTTGGCTACGATTGAATTATATGTCTCTGCAGCATTATTAGTCACGTCAAAGAATACCTACCCAAGAAGCGAAACTGAATGAGTTTTCGTATGTACCAAAGCAAGGGAACTTAATACACTGGGAAACGTATGAAAATTAATCAGTTTTTGTCGTTTGGTTCATAAGAATTAAAGACATACTAAAGTAACAATGACAGATAGATAATTCTTACTATGTTCATTATGTCAAATAGAATATTTTAATAAAGAAATAATTCAGTAAGTACAATACACACAAATTCAAATAACAGCATGTCCCAACATAACAGGAGCCATGAAAACCACATCAGTCAGAGCTATGGAAGTCGTTCTTAGTCTCACTCCCCTTGATATTTACATCAAGGAGGTTGTTCTGATGACAATGACACGCCTCTGCACGGTTGGAATAAAACTTGATGTACGAGACGTCGCTATTGGTAAAAGGCGCTCGATACGCTCCCATTGCTTTAGGCGAACATGAACTTCATCTCACCGAGATATATCTTCCATAAGCCATATGAACAGAACAAATGGAAGATCTGGAAGTGACAGGTACGATTTATATATACACCTACAGTTCTAAAACAAAACAATGCTCAGGTTGTGGAATATACTCCAATTCCTTAAACCTCAACATAATAGTGCCAATAGTGCAATAGTACCAATATAGTTCACGGAGCTCACGGAGCTTCTCATAGCAGCAAAAGCAATCACTAGAAACAATATCACTGGTAGGAACATGCTCATCTATACAGAGAGCAGATAAACACTACTTACCCTGAAGTGACTACGAATTTATTCAGGGTTAGTATTAGAATGCCACGAAGCTTTGACAAGAGTATCCATCCAACAATGTGACCACCTTAAGATATATCAAACGCCACATCGAAAGGTTATTGCTGATTCACTAATCAAGAAGACGACCAAAGAAATACTTTTTGGACTTGGCCCTTTTATTGGACTGACAACATCGGTAGTGATAGACCTAATTAAAAAATATTCCTTTATGAAATTGAAGGAAAGATGGGATGAAACAAGAAATTGTTGAGTTGCCAGGGAGTTTTAAAGTTATCCTGACAACACTACAACAAACAAATACTTGACTACGACTAGGCAGAATCTGCGTATGATCACAGGCATTCTGACTGGTCATTGCTGAGTACAGAAGCATCTCCATATCATGGGGCTGTCAGAATCCGCCATCTGCAGGGGAAGCGAACAAAAATATGAGAGCATTGAACATATCCTCTACGATTACCAGTCGCTCTCATTTATTAGAAGATTTGTTTTCGGCAAGTATTGGCTATCCCTGCCGATATAAGAGAAGTATCTCTTGGCAACGTTGTCAACTACATTAAATTTGTAGGCTGGCTCACGAGCTAGAAGGTGCCTATCATTTTAGGAGGATACACAATGGGCCTAAGTGTCGTGGGGTAACCCACTCTCTACACGTTACATATCCAGAAGTACTGAAGTTAGCTGTAAATGCATTTCAATTGTATCCTGATAGCAGCGACTTAGTTCCTCGAAGTGAGTTTGTCATATATTATAATTATTGTTATATATTATTGTTCATTTACTGTTTTAAAAACAAAAAATAACATATTTAAATAAAAGACTAAGAAATTAAACGATGCATGATACGTAAGCGTAAATACTGAGTTAGAAATTAAAAAAAAAAAAACATTGAGAGCCAGATGCAAGAACGTTCAATAAAATTTACGAATAACGCAATGTATTTTTTTCATGTAAAACGAATTTTAAAACTATCTAATTTTTAATTATTACTTAGTTAAATACAACTACTTAACTATGCTGCAATTTTCACAAAAGCGCTAATACATAAATGACAGCTATATTTGACGTTAAACTACCTCTAAAACACTGAGAAAACTTGGCAGGTTTTGTCCACGAATCGCCCATTTAGTTTCACTTCTTGGGTAGGTATTCTTTGGTCACGTATAATAATAAACTGTGGCTGTTTTGAACCAGTCTATTACCAGCAAATATAATGTCATCCATAAGTCCGCATTCTTTCATTTCTGTCACATAATCTCTGTCGTTTTGTTATTTTTACAAAAATATTGTGCACAGTTTAAATGATTTCCAAATTGGTAAGGAGAGTTTTTAATGTATGTAGTTAATTGCTTCACATTGTCAACAATATCACTGGTATTTTTTCTGTGGTAATTTAAATCACTCAATTTTTTTTTTTTTTTAATTCTGGATTACTATTTTGGTTCTTGAACTGTATTTTTTTGCAAGATCACGCAAATTTGTTTAATAATTCCTGAGAAGATGGTTTATGCATTCTACTTTGCGAACCATTGTTCTTCCGTAGGGTCTCTCTAAGCAAATTTTTTTGTAAACACTGCAGTCTCCATCGCCAATAATTTTTACATATTTTAATTTCTGCATTTTTATAGTATTACGGAATCCTTCTAAAATTAGTTCCGATTCCATAAAAGTCGACGAACCATCCCAATTTTTTGAACATTTATGAGTTGCAGCTTTTATGTTTTTAGTTAAAGCTCGAGCACAGATAGGACAATACTTACTTTTAAAAGAAACATACAAAACTTTTCCAGTTTTCGCTCCAATAATGCAAGCCTGTAAAAAATAAGTGTATTTAAAAATAAACCCTTTATATGTTATGTCAAATATGAAAATGTTTCTAAAGTAGACCATGGAAAACTCACGCATGACGGATTCTTCACAATTCTGTCGGTCACGGCTTACTTTAGAAACATTGTTTTTGGATCACACGTTATAATATTAAAATATAAACTTACAACTCCAGATAAAGCGTTATAATTAACTTTATATGACCGCTTAGACCACGAAGCATCAACAATCACTGCAATTGACCATTTCCTTGTTCATCTACTTCTCCAATATATTCTGCTAATTGCAATTCTTCTAGTCCTGCTTATCCATGGCCTCCCAAGCTGCTTCAAAAATACTTTTACTTACCAACTCATTATGAGCTGAGTATTGTCGAAAAGACATTGTGGGGTGTTAGTACATTAGGATTTAAAATTAGCAAAATAATAAAGGTCACTTTTATATTTCCAATAAATTAAAAATTAATATAATCTGTTCTTAGGAATATTTTGAAAATTGTCCATTGTTTTCGACTCGAGATATTTCTCAAAATATTCATGAATTCCGATATAATTTGGAAATTAATCAATAAAAATCATATTCGTATATCAAACAAATTATATTTTTTTATTTACTAAAATGTTTAATAAAAATAGTCTAACCTTTTGCTAGTAACTGCACTTTTCTTTTATACTTAGTTACACATCACGTAAAAAATAATAAAAAATATATTATACCTACTAAATCTTTACAATCAAGAGCGAGTTAGACCCTGGCCGAATCACTTTATATTTGCTAATCCAGGCTACCGTTGGTTACAGGTATATGATAAAGAGAGAAATATTTTCAAAAATTCAAAATAAAAATATTATTGGAAAACGGTTTACTACAAAACTCAATTAGTTTTTGATTTTAGCAAAAACTTGTAAATAGAAAAAAACTAGAAAAAAAATTAGCTACAAACTCTAGTTTTCCAAAAATTGATATCTGCAAATTGTAAAAATTTATTATTCATTTTTAATTTTTATTTTAGGGTGTAACAAAAATTAAAAGAATAGAGATTATACTTCAGCAAAAAATGAAACTATACTGATGATAAATAACTAAGATACATGGATAATGCTAAAATAGTGAACCGTTCAAATAGAGAGTTGAGCTTAGAAGTAGGCGATTAAAAATATCTCTGTTACAGTTTTCTCTAGAGAATTTTCGCGCGAAGTCTTGGCGATAGGAGCGGAAATGCTTATTTCGTGCTTCTGCAGCCTCTTTAGATAGCTGTTCAGTAGGCAGCAATACATTTTTTATTATAGCTACACCATGCACGAGAATTTTGTGCATTGTTGGCGTCATTGAGCTTCATTGGGTGCCAAGCGTACAGATCCACTGTTAATTAAAACCCAACACTGAATGGTCAAGTGGGGAATCCTACCTATGCATTAGCATTATTATTTAATTATTATTTTTAATCAAATAAAAATCCCTGCCACCGGTGGGATTCGATCCTGAGACCTCTCGATCTCAGTCATGACTCTACCCACTGAGCCAACCTACCCCCCACGAAAGTAAATTGTTCTAGTATTTGTAGACAAAATGTAAAACGAAATCTTAATTTTTTCAAAGTGACTTCTTGTATTCGTGTAAACGCACCTTAATAAAATTTACGCTGCTAAGCAACAACAAAGCCCAACTGAAATAAGAAGTGCAAATTGTAACTAAAAATGCGATACTCTTTTGTCAGAGGACTTGGGGTATTACTTAAATATACATTTCGTTGACCCTGTATTATTTTATTTTTTAAAAGGACTTACAACTTTGTAGACCCAATTCTGCTAAATTATTAATAGAATGGTTCAAAAAAGATGGAAACTTTTACATTCAATCCACTTTTCAATAGGTTAGACTAGTTAGTAATACAATACGCCCACTTGTAATTTCTACTCTTCTAATGGCCTTCAATAATTTAGGATGATTGATTGTTTGTTGTTTTGTTTTGATGTCGATGATATCTATTGTACGTCAAATTTTTTATTATCTATTTTATGATAGAAACCTTTTTCTTGTAACAAAACGAGAAACTTAAAAATACTGTTAATGTTGCGAGGCAAAAGAAAATTTATAAAGGAGTGCACCATACACATAAAGGGTACAGAAAAAGTAATTCAGCTTTATTATATTATCATTCCTATTATTGATTTTAGGAAATAGTAGTTATCGCAACAAGTGCTAGAAGATGCACTTTTCACTTCTAGCACGTGTTACGATCAACATTTTTTCTACGAGCGCATTTATTTCTAAAATAGAGAATTAACCTGTATAATGACATTAGGTACAACATACAGTTTAAGTATACATATACGAGGATATATCAGTATATAACGAGACTGGTGCTATAACTTCTTTCAGAGGTAACATTTTATAACCCAAAAAATGAGACATAAAAGCCTTATATTTAATGTACTACCCCGCAAGTAGGCTTTGATTTAACTTTTGACATTTGTTACAAATTAATTATTGAATTGTCAGTGTTTTGCGTACCCATCGAAAAATGAAAGATACGTGATACGTGATAAAATTTTGTGTTCGATTGGGTAAAACACCAACTGAAACTTTTGAAATGATTAAAGGTGCATATCTAGATAATAGTTTATCACGATGTAGTGTTTGAGTGGCATAAAAAGTTTAAAGACGGTTGTGAATCAGTTGAAGATGAACCTCGTCCCGGTCGACCACAAACTGCGAGAAATGACACAAAAATTGCAGAAATTAACAACTTGATACAAAATGATCGCCGGATTGGCATAAAACGAATTTCTGACAATGTTAATTTGTCTTACGGTACCACTCAAAAAATTATTCATGAAGATTTAGAGTACCGGAAGATCGCGGCAAGATGGATTCCAAAAGTGATGACCGATGAACAAAAAGCGAATCGAGTGACAATTTGTCAGCAGTGGAAAAGGCAATTGCAACGTAACCCACAGTTTTTAAATAATGTGGTTACGTGTGACGAAAGTTGGTTTTATCATTACGATCCTGAATTGAAGTCTCAAAGTATGCAATGGAAGCATAAAGGTAGCCCAAGACCGCAGAAGGCCAAAACTGCTAAAAGCGCTGGTAAAGTGATGCACCTGATTTTTTTTGATAAATTTGGCGGTATTTACGATCACATTGTACCTAGAGGATATACAGTAACAGGGGAGTACTATTCCAATGTACTTCGAGGACCCTTAAAGGCAAAATTAAAGAAAAAAAGGCCGCTTTATCAGGACTTTGGCTGGACGCTGCATCACGACAATGCTCCGGCTCATAGATCAATGATTTGTCAACGAACAATTGAAGAATTAGGGGTTGAAATTATGGTTCATCCCCCCTACTCTCCTGGCCTTGCTCCATGTGACTTCCATTTGTTTCCTGAAGTCAAAAAAGAATTGAGAGGTAGAAGATTTGAGTCGGATTTAGAGCTCAACAACGCTGTGATGGGTATACTAAACAGACTATCAAAAAATGGTTTCTCAGAAGTTTATAAGTGGGTAAAGCGATGGGATAAGTGTATTCAACAGAATGGAGAGTACTTCGAAGGATAGTTGTTGAATTTTTTTAAATAAATGTTTCGTTGTTATACAATAGCACCAGTCTCGTTATTTTCTGATACATCCTCGTATTAAACCGATGTTTTGTGCTGAATTGGTGTAGTGGTTAGGGTTTCGGGCTCATAACGCAAAGATCTTAGGTTCAAACCCTTGCCTCGGCGGTAAGTATACCTTGCTTTTTTTTTCAATTTATATTTCTCTGCGTGCGAGAAGATAAACTTCTCGCACTCGAAAGAGTGCAAGAAGATCATCTTCTCGCACGCTTGTAGAAAAAGAATATTTAAGAAAAAAGTTGTAACACAAGAAGTGCTCCAATTACATTTTTAATTATTTATTTATTTTAATAAAGATTACAAAACGGGACTAACCCAGGACCAGTATTCACCATTAGCTCAATATTAGATACAAAAATTTCAATTAATCAATTTCAAAATCAATAATAATAGAACAAACGTATTTAAATTGTATGATCTAAAAGAATTTGTTTAAAGTCTTAGTAAACGATGACAAGGAACAAGAAAAAATATCGAGATTTAAAAGGTTTGATAATGAGTTATATGATTTAGAGCACCTAACTGTAGGGGAATTTATATGATAATTAGTTATGCTTGAACTTAAATAAGATAGTATTTGTTTTCTTGTACTGTGGGTTGGAACATTAAATGAATTCATGTTTACGATTGTAGTAGAGTCAATCAAATTATTATAGATTTTGTAAATAAATTATACATCATTTGTCTTCTATCTTCTAGGACTTCTAGTGATATTAATCGTAAATTTTGCTTAATAAGAGATCGATTATTGACTTGATGCGAATAGACTTTTTTTTATTAAAATATTTAATAAATTTCTCTTGCACACTTTCAAGTTTAGTTATGTAAATGGTATACTGAGGATTCCAAATAACTGATCCAAAACTTAACACGCTGTTAACGTAAGACATAAAAAGTATACGGACTGTTTCGATTTTTTGAAGTCTTTAGACTTTCGTATAATGAAACTAAGTGCCTTCTGTGCTTTAATAATGACTTGCTTAATATGATGGTCAAATATTAGTTTACTGTCATAAAAAATGCCAATATCTTTTACAACAGATACTTTATCGAGAGGTGTATTATCAATGCTATAATTATTAAGTAAAATATTTTTGTTTCTAGAAAAAGTGATGTAGTGACATTTCTTGAGATTAAGATACAGACAATTACGGGTGTAATAGGAGAATAAATTGTCAAGATCATTTTGAATCTGTAAAGAATCCAAATTTGTAGCAACAAACCTTTAAATCGTCAGCGTACATAATAAATTTCGAAAAGGTAAAACAATTGGTAATATCAAAAAGTAGCAGTCCCAGATGAGATGCCTGCGGTACGCCAGATGTAATAATAGAAAATACAGAGCTATACATGCCAATTTTAACAGTTTGACTCCTTTTACTTATATAAGACGAAAACCATCTCAGCGATTTTATAGCGCAGTATATTATGATAAATTTTATCAAACGCTTTACTGAAGACGGTATAAATGGTACCTATTTGCAATCCACGGTCCATTCCATCTAATAAGTATTGTATGTAAATAAGAAGGTTACTTTCGATGGACCGCTTTTTCATAAATCCGTGTTGTTCGATATTAATAATATTTTTAAGATCAAAGTCTAAGTAGTCACATAAGATAGATTTAAACAATTTTGCAATAATGCACAATTTAGAGACAGGACGGTAATTTTCCGCTAGGTATTTGTTACTAGATTTTAGAATAGGAACAATTAATGCAGTTTTCCAAATATCTGGAAAGTGACTATCTTGTAACGATTTA